AGTACAATTCTTAAGTATAAAATACAACTACAAGTCGATACCACATTTCTTCGATTAGTGACTTTCTGTGTTTTATTTATGGATATCTTTAGCATACATAACAAACATTTATTTTCCCCATCACGACTAGTTCATATAATGACACATCGTAAAAGTAACAATATAGATACTATGGGAAAAAACGTAGAAAGTAATCAATTTATTACATAAGCAAAAGGAGAATGTTCAACGTATAACCAAACAGGATAACTCAGGTATAGCTTTTTAGAGGATATCTATCGTCACAGATACGTGAACTTTTTCATAAATTATATCATATAGATTTGTATTAGTTCTGAAGAGTGTTACAGGATATAGTCGAAATGTTAAAATAAACCTAAACAATAATGTCAGCAATTTTATTTCGAAGCAACTATGTATCTACATTCTCGGTTTACATATCATAATGAATAACTAAAAACACACGACCATTTATGTAAATCTTTAATGTTAAATACTTCTTCAACTATTACCCGTCAAATAAAATTATTGGTATTTGACTGCTCTTGAAATAAAAATAAATAAACGAATATTTTTGTAGCGCAAATCTTCACCTTTTCTTAATATGTCATAGTATTGTATATTAAATTCATTATTTAAACTTGACGTTTCTGTCTAATTTTATGAGATAGAAAGTAATAGGACCGAACTATTCAATTATTAACTTACGTACTAACTAATAATAATGCTACATGCGAGCCGCAACACAATAATCATATTAAAGGAGAAATCATTCTTTAGAAATTATTATTCCCCTATATAGGAATTTCATTTGTTTTCATTTGTTCGAATTTATTAATATTTTACAATATATTCATTTCTTCTAGTCTTCTCTGAATGATTATTTTATGTATTTTATATATATTATTCATACTCTTATATAATTATTGTACTCTACACTACTTTTCATTCTCTTTTAATCAATTTTTTTTACTATTTCCATACCTTATTATAATTGTCGGTGATCACTAGACTGCTAGAATTGCTACTAGACCGCTAGACTGCACTAAAATTTATTTTATTCTGCAAATATTATAACATGAACTTTACTTTCAATCTTTTTTATATTCTTGCATATTGTTTGCATTTTGTAGGTTCTTGCACATTCAAATTTCGTATAAATGCATAAAGATCCGCAGTCTAGTGATCACATAACATTTTTATACCCGTAAAAGTGTACAAGTGTGAAGTAAGTCTAAACGTTACATTTAAATAAAGAATTTCAATATGTAGTAATACGTACCCTAAGTATATTTGTTACTCTTACTTATCCAGAAAGGAAGGAAATTCGTCTTCTTAGAATTTCCTTTCATATTCATCAATGGAAAATCGTGTAATTATTCTCAATATCCCTAACACTATCACGCCGCAGAAACTCAATAAAAAACGAACATCAGACTCGAGTATGCGTCCTCGTTAGTTACCTTGAACGACAGCCATCGCGTTCCCGAGAACGTGAAACTGTTCAACGTCCGATCGACGAATCCTGTCATCGTACGGAAATCGGTTTCCCGTCCGAGGAGATTGCGGTCGCCGGAAAATCTCTATAAATTCATCGAAAACAATTTAAACCAGTTGGACGGCGCGACAGAAACTATCGACAAACATCTTCCTCTTGCTTTCCAGTCACGGCCTGAACACGATCGAATCGAATCGAAGCCGCACGGCCCCGTGTCGTGACGCACCGATCTATCTGGCCAAGAGTCAAATCAATATTTTCAGATTCAAATATGGAGATTCAAATTCCGATATATGGAAATGTATTCCCGCCGATAAGCCTGATAAAGCACGAATACGGCCGATATTCTAATGTCCTCCAACAGGCGAGATCAAGGTACAAAGTCATTCCGAGATTAACCGCACCCCAGGGAGTTCGTCAGTCGATAACCAAAAATCGTTGGCGCTCGTAACTTCTGAAACAAGCTGCGAACGAACCGCGAACAGCGTTCACAGGAAGTGCCAGGTATCGAGTAATAACGATAACGGTCTGGAAATTCTATCGGCCGTTCCTTCTATAAGGAGAATATAGGTCGGTTTATTTTCACGATCCACCTCCGTTTTGAAACAGTTTCAGCTCCGTACCGAGGAAATCATTAAAGGCTAACCGAATTTAACATCGGGAACGACGAGAGAAAGAGCGAGAGCGAGGCGTTTTATTTCTGAGCAAAAAGTTTGAAACAGAATGTAGGTTAAACTCGCGCAGCGCCCTATCGGGCAGGAAGTTCCTCTAACTGCGACACGGTGGAAAGAAGGTGCAAACACACGAAGGACCGTAGCTTCACTGCCTCGGAGAAGTCCTAATAGTTCGTTTCTCGTTTTAATTAAGTTCTTAATATTAATGAAGCTCCGTACGATGTGAGTACAGAGATGTAAGAACGTATTGTGAACGGTAATCGGATTAAGAAGGGCTACCTGAAGCTGAATCCGTATTAATTGCGACGACTCGCTCGCGATGGTTCATCCCGTAATTGAAAACTTGGCGACTCGGAGAAACGGCGGTAAGTAACGAGAAACTTCGAAGCCAATCGACGCGCAATTCTGACAAGTACATCCGAAATCGAAACGCGATTACAACTTCTTTTCCCACCCTCCACCGATCCGTCGAATTTCGCATAATCCCCGGCGCCGTACTATCGATGCTGCGTGCAATCGACGTTTTTTCGAAACAAAAATTTGGAAAGGATTTTACGCCAAGTTGGAAGTTTCAACAAAATCGAGAACAATCTTTTTCGTATAATAATTGATAAATTTGGTTGTTCAATGGAAAAACCGAAATCATTCGTGGTTTTTCTAAGTGTGAAGGTTATTAGAATATTTTCGGTATCATTTTTTCAGCGCTCTTCATTGTTACGTAAATAATTTTCTAATAATTACATACGAAATGTGTCGTTTGAGGATGTTAGAAGAAACCCGATGTGAAAGAATATTTTAATACGTAACTTACAACGTATGGAATGTAAGCGAAATAAACGTAATGTGTGGAATAAAACACATGTTGAAAAAATCAGAAAATAGGAAATAAACATATTGCTTGATATATTGTACGAAAAAGTATTTAAGTTTCTTTAAGTTTTAAACTTCAAATTAAAATTAAAAATAGATTTAAATTTACATGCAGGATGGATTTTTAATAAATCAATATAAATTACAATTTGTAAGTAATTTCTGTTTTCGCGATATAAAATAATTTTCTACACAATTTTATTACTGATTTCAAAGGTATGTGTTTAAAATTTAACGCAGTATTCAGCACGTAGACATGCTCTAAAGAAAACGTAATATGTTCATTGCGAAAGTAGTGTAAGTGTTTTTTTTTTTGTGAAAAATGTAATTCCTGCTAGTAATTCTTAAAAAAAGCACGTTGATGTTTTCTATAAAGAGAGATATTTCTTTACAAATACGTTGATTTAAGTTCAGTTGCTAAACACAAGGAGGAAAACTACGTCATGAATAGATCTCAAAATTTATTATCAAAATAGATTTCATATTTCTACGATAACGATAGGTTCTATGTTCCTAGACCTATGTATATCATCAACAAAATACAAGATCGTAGTGGACTTATTACCTTACACACATATCGACACGCTTTCGTAAACGTTAATTCCCGAAGAACATACAACGTGGAAAGTTTGTTGGTATGTTTATGGTATGCGGCCGAAGAAAAACTATTTTTTGAGGATTAGGGTATTTCGAGTCCTTTTACGTTTCAATAAGTTTAGCATCTTAATTTTCTTTTGGACCTCAATAGTCAGAGAACCATAAAATCAAAGTTTCCAAAGGAGGTACTTAACGAACGAGAGGAACATTATCTCCAAATAAAAACAGACAAATTCTCTTCACTTTCATAATAAAAGACACAATTACCTCCACTGATATAAAATTTTCTTCAAAATTTCATGACAGTGTCCTCGAAACAGTAGATTTAAAATAAATGTAAAAAATATCGTTTTTCTTTAAACCGTATAGGTGGTGCTTCGCCTTAAGGGGTTATACCTTTAATCATGAGACCGAAAAAAAGCATTTTATCAAGGATCTTTTTTGGAAAGACGTTTGCGTTTATTTTATTGAATTTTTGTCCATTAAATTAATTAGATCTTTACATATATATGTATTTTTTTACAGAAGCATTAATTTGTGGAGATGCTACAACCGATTTGTGACAGCACCTCCAGAAAAGGTATTTTGCAATGGTCAAGATATCTTTGGACTGGATTATCTGAAATCAAAAAACAATGAAGATTTAGTTAATATAGGGCACACTCTTATCTTTAATCGAAGGAATAAGAAAAATATTACGTTTTAACAAAATGAATAATATTGATCGGATCAAAAAAAGCTTCGATCAAAGATTAAAAATTAGAATTCTGAAGTTTGTGTAAAAATTTGGACCTGAATCGTTTCAGCCGTTCCAAAAATATCTTGATCACCGATTTGAAAACATAATTTTGAAAAAAACCTGTTTAAAGTTTCAAATACAGGAGGTGTACACCTAATAAAAGAAGTCTTTATAAATATACCTTAATATTGAGGATATTTATGGGATCACCGTACAATTTTTTTTTATACACTCAAGATTATGTCCTTAACGAAAATCCAAAAGCTGGAAATACAGTTTTTTGAAAATCCTAACTGAATATAACCTCTTTAGCGCGACTTAAAGTCGCATCGCGACAGGTATAGGATCGAAGGATTCCCCGGATCGTTAGAAGTCAAAGCAGGTTCGAAAGCTCGAACAGCATTTAAGGCAGGAATTGAACGAGGCGCGAGCAACGTGCTAAATGCTGGCTGACAAAAGCCGGCGGAGGAAAGCGTCGTCCATGACGTCGATCTCTTCCTTTCCTTCTCTCAACTTCCTACTCCGCTACAATTTCAACGGCACGCTCGAGTTGCCCACCGGGCTGGCCGTTGCGTCCCCTATAAAAGCAGGGGGTAGACCATCGAGGAATCAGTGTGCTCACTGTCGACCAACATGAACAGCACAGAGAAGCTGAAAGTGAGTAGCTCCGATACGACCAGCCACTCGAATCCCCGTATCTCGGGACTTGAGCGACGCGAACGGAACTGGCGTAACCAGCGAAAACTTGAACGTGTTGCCTATCGTTCTAAACGAAATCTTTCAAAGTACACTTCTCGATTCTCTGGCATTCTTAGCTCGAGGCGATTAAACTAGCATTTGATCAAAAAAGACGGTACCTTTTCGCGATCCGTCAGACGTAACGCTCTCTGGAAGCTTTTATTAACTGTAAACTTGACTCGTCACAAACGCCTAAGAACGCCATGTGCAAAACCAAGCTCATTGGAGCATCACTAACGATCCTCGATTTCTTTTCTTTAGATCTTACTTTTCTGCGGTCTGGTACTGACCGTCGCGGCAGGAGAGAAGAAAAAGGCGGTCGAAAAGGAGTCGAAAGTCCAACCAAACGAGACGAAAACGAAGCGTGGTCTGGAGCTGAGTTTGGGTGACCACGGCTTCGGCGGTGGCTTTGGAGGAGGCTATGGAGGAGGCGGAGGTCACGAGACGGTATCCGCGGAACACATCAAGGCGGTCACGGTCACGAAGACGGTTCACGTGCCGGAACCAATCCCATACGAGGTCACGAAGCACGTGCCCTACCCCGTAAAAGTCCCGGTCAAAGTACCGTACGACAAACCGTACCCCGTTTCCGTGCCACAACCGTACCCAGTAACCGTCGAGAAGCATGTACCCTATATAGTCGAGAAGCCACAACCTTACCCTGTGCACGTACCTGTCAAGGTGCCCATAGGTGTGCCGTACCCGGTCAAGGTGCCTGTCAAGGTGCCGTACACGGTGTCAAAGCCAGTGCCCTATCCTGTTAAAGTGCCCGTGGTCGTGAAGGAGGCAGTACCCATCCACGTGGAGGAGCACGGCGGAGGATACGGTGGTGGATTCGGCGGAGGATACGGTGGTGGACACGAAATCAGTCTGGGAGGTTTTGGACACCATTGAAGTCGAAGGCTTCACCTCGAAGAGGCTGGAAGTCTTTGACCTTCTCTGCGTTCCGTTCGACGTGGGACGCGATCGATGATTTCTGTGAAACCGGTCTCTTCCGGGCTCACGAGACGCGGAGCTGCTCGAAAATCCATCGCAATCAGCGAAAGACGTCAATCGAATGCACCGATATTGTATTCACCCGTGATCCCAACCCAAAATTGTATTATATAGTATGTTTTCTTTGTAAAGGAATAAAGCGATATTTTTTATACATAACCATACCGATTACGCAATCCCCTCGAGAACGCGAGATCACACGAGAGGAAGTGAACTGCGTCAGCGGTTACACGATCGGGAGGGATCGCCTCGAAACTTTCACCGATTACTGTTACGTTATAAGGTACACCTGTTCTACCGTAAGCGAGGTGGTTCTGGGGGAAAAGACGCGTGTCGTTCGCGCAGTTAACGTAAACGGCAGTCGTGCGAATCGTGAGTCGAGAAAGGAAAAAACGAAACTAACGTCGTCGCTCGTTTGAAAATCGTACAGCTTAAGAGCGATTGCGTTCGCCTAGAGTAATCTCGGTACTCTCGACGCACTTTCATCGATACATAAAGTTCACTCGATTAAATATTGCAGAGAAAACGAAAATTTCCACTACAGTTCCATGTTGCGTTGAAATTAACACTGCGTTGCATAATGTGCCCTACGAAATACGCAACGAGGAATATTCAGTTCTTGCGAGGTTCGCCGAGGAAATTTTCCCAGGTGCGGGCGTTGAGTAGCTCCGCCACTTATCTCTCAATCTGAATACTAATTAACTCGTAAGTGTACGAGCAACTAAGAAATGATTTCTGGTTTGAAAGATAAAATGAAATTTAAACGATAAAGAGTCCAGATATCCCGCGCGTGAGCGGATATCGATTTCTCGGACACGTAATTTTAATCGCGCGTTATCTCGTTAAATGGAAGTCGTAACGCCACGTAACCGCAAAGCGAGTGCCTCTTTCCCCCTTAGCCTGGTTTCATTTCCGCGTACAACGCTCGGGTCTCCTTTCGATCTGATACCGGCCGTGGAAACCGAAAGTGACTACGGCACGGATAAACGGATTTGAAAATCTAGGAAAATGGGTTCCACGTCGGAAAGTGCGATACTCGTGATGTTGCACGCCTATGCAATCCGTGGAAACGGAGTAACCGTGTGTCTGTGCATGTGCGATCGTGGTTTCCACGGTTCAGCGAATTAGCAAGGAGCGAGGAGACTCGTTTACGACAATTTCGGACCATTGACGAATGCCCTCAGCGAGTATCCGGTCGATCGACCTTGTCCAACGATCAAGGGAAATTGCATGGATGCGGCACAATCACGTTTCACGCCGTCGCGTATCGATCCCTGAATTATATTGGATATCGCGAGTTGCGCGCCGAGTTGCCGAAGAAAATATCCATTGCGCGACACGGATAATAACCAATAGGGTAATCGCGTCTAATTGGCGAAATCGACGATGCCGCTCGATTCGCTTCATGATAGGGAAAGTATGATAAAGTATGCAAGAAACATCGCGCGCTACCGAGGTTGATTCTTGGTTACGATGTCGAACTTTGAGGCACTAGCTCAAGCGTGTTTTATACGTTATCGAATGTACGATTATTTACGTTGCCATTGGGTAGAGTTGGGCAGAATTTAGATCGAAAGTTGTACGAGTTATAGGGACTCTGTATACCGATTTAGTCGTAATTTTTGTTAAATAGAATAGTTGATCGGGATAGATTTCGTTCGTTTAATGTAAAGCATAATTTGATTCTATACGTCGGAATTAATGTAATTTCAAGTGACCAATACTCTTTTCTCCATACGCTTCATAACTAGACCGTAAATGTTTATGCAAATTGAACTTTAAGAAAACCCATGTAATATTGTCCGATTTCCAAAAGACGGTTGGTTCTTACCGATCTAATTCATCAATCCTGCAGTTCAGGTAAGAACCGATTGTCTTTTGAACATCGAAGAAACATACGGAGTCCTCGTAATAGTCGGAAAACCAGAAACGTACTTTTACGTTTTTCACAGTCTGTCACTGTAGCGCGAGTACGTATCTAGTAGATTTGTGCTAGAGAACGGGTAGCGTATAAATACGATGAGAATTGTATGTATGCGGTGTTTCGCTTCACAGATCCAAATACTTTAAACGATACGATACTGTGAAGAAATGTTAAAGTTGTATCATTGCTATTTGTACTTGTTGTTATAAAAAAATATTTTTGAATACATAGCCCAGATAGCACCGGACGTCCCATAGACGTCCATTTTATGTCCAGTTTACGTCCAAACGTCCAACGTCCGTTGTCGGACGTCCTTAGGACGTCCATGGGATCTAAATTCTGTACGTCCCAGGGACGTCCGGCCGGAACGTCCTGCGAACGTCCATGGGACCTAAATTTTGTACGTCCCAGGGATGTCCGCTCTGAACTTTCTAGATTTAGGGAAAAATACTTTTTTTTTCAACAAAATAAATATTATTTATTAATATTCTTTATAATATAATATTTATTCAATATGTAGAACAGAATATTTTTTTACGAATATAAAGTACACTATTTACGATTGTAAATTAATATTATTATCCCAGATAGCACCGTACGTCCCATGGACGTACAGAGAACGTACAGAAAACGTTCTGGGAATGTCCAGCGCCGGACGTTCCATGGACGTACATAAGACGTTCCTGTTCCTATGCTATCTGGGTATACAATCATTATTTAATATTCGCAACAGAATATTTTTTTCCGTAGATAAAACACATATTTATCTAATATTCGCAACAGAATATTTTTTTCCGTAGATAAAACACATATTTATCTAATATTCGCAACAGAATATATGTTTGAACATGTAAAACAAAATGTTTATTCAATATTAGGAATACAATATTTTTTGTACATATGAGATGTGATATGTATGTAATATTTGGAACTATTCAGAATTACCTAGTAAATTAATTCTTCTAACTTTTTAAAAAAAAGTTCAAGTCATTTAGACCAATTTCAAAAGAAGGAATTGTATTTTAAAAAGTATCCGAATATTAATGCGAGTCACTATATAAGCCTAAAATATGAGTCAGTTTAGCAAAGTCGTTTATGGGTAAGTAAGGAAGCAGGTTGCGGTTTTGTAGTTCGAAAATCGTGAGTTCGAATCCCGCCGGAGGTAAATAAAAATTTGTTCCGTCATTTTTCATGGAATCCAGTTACAAGAAAATAAATACAGTTAACTAAAATCTACCAACAAATAAAAGAAAATATATAAAATAAAAATTTAATTTTTTTTAAAATCTCAATTTTACAAAGAACGTTCTGGGAATGTCCACATCGGATGTCCCAGGGACGTACATAGAATGTCCACGCCGGACGTCCCAGAGACGTCCTGCGATGTAACTGGAACGTTCCAGGGACGTTCACAGGACGTTCATGGGATGTTTGGACGTTATCTGGACGTCTATAGGACGTCCCGAACGTCCAGTACCGGACGTCTTATGGACGTACATAAGACGTCTCTGTGCTATCTGGGAGTAAAACTCTAAAAATTGTCTATTTTCATAATTTCGTAAAAATGTCGTTTTTCATATATAATAATCATAGAGCATATATTTAAGTGTAAAATAAAAGAAATTTCGTTGAGAAAAATGAAGTAGTTTTCGATTTATTGCGATTTTACGGAATGACCAAAATTCCGCGAGATTCCCGAAAACACGCTCGCTATACGCGTAAGTTCCCGGCGATGTATACCCACATGCAATGTATTAAAATGACTGATTTTTGGTATAGTGATTAACTACATGTTAGTGAATAACAAAAAAGTATTGCCAGACGTTAAGCGCGGAACAATCAGCTATTTCAAAATGATGTAAGTAAAATCGTCACTGACTCTTAGACTATAAGGTTACATTTGCATAAATATCCGCGGTTATATATCTTTCCTCTTGACGCAAATTGTCTCATTTTGATAGTTTTGAAGATGAGCACGCATAATAAGTCTAAAACCTGTACGAATTTTAACACATTCTATGCGGAAAACGTAGACAGTTTTATGTTCTTCGCGGTTTATCTCTTGAATGCAGGTCATGTAAAAGTATCTATTTAGTAGATTTGTATTGAAGACTTTACTACACTGCTCTATACTTACATATTGAAAATCTGTAGGTTTTAAACAATAATCATATCGCACATACTTGAGTGTAAAACAAAAAAACTGTCGTTAAAAAAATCAAAGTAATTTTCGATATATTTCAATTTTACTAAACTTCACAATCCTCACGAATTTCACGAAAAAACGCCCGCTACACGCATAAGTCCGCGGTGAAATATACCTGCATGCAATATATTAAAGAAAGTAGAGGACAAGACTAATAAATAACATGTTGCGGTTATATGTAATTTGTTCCCAATAACGTTACAATATATCAAGCTCTTGCTCTATAATATCGAATGGGTTTCATGTTACAAAATCCGTATTAAACGAGAAAAATCACAAATCGTACCCGTGGTACGCGATTGCTCAAGCGATTGTTGGTATAACGAACTAGGAAATATATCCAATGGGCTTTATGTGAGAGGTAGTTCTCAAAAAGATATTTGACACATATTTTCTTTTATCGGCAATCGTCCATATTTAAGGGGTGAAAACCGTCCCTAAAGTGGGAAGCAATTCTCCATTTAATATAATTATTGTTATATGGTGGAAAACAAAATTTCCAAAAACATGTATTTCTTATTTTAACCTGTAGTTTACACATATAATTTTCATGAACGAGAACAAACATTTAGTAAGATAATTTAACAAAAAAAACATTTTTTCAAAAATAAGTTATTTAAATAAATAAATAAACAATTTCTTCTGGCATGATTAAATTACTCACTCAAAAACACATAATTTAAAAAAAAAATGTTTGTCCTAGCTTCTCTAGTTTTCAAGTTATTTAAAAACATGGATTTCATTCCCCCCCCCCCACTTTAGGGGCTGTTTTCACCCCTTCAATATGGACGATTGCCGATAAAAAAAAAATACGTGTCAAATATTTTTGCGAGAACTACCTCCCACATAAATTTGATAAAAATCAGCGTGTGTCCATTAAACATGTTCCCTTTGTAAGAAAATAACCATTGAATTTTCTCTTAAAACCTCGCTAAAAGTGTTCTTTTATTTAGAGGGTCCGTGGGAGAACGAAGTTCGAGAAGTAGTGCTCCGAATA